CTCCCCCTCAACCAATCTTTCCCTCGCGGTTTTGCTGTCTATCCTTTGCAAGCAAACCTTCCATCCTTCTCCTCCTTCTCCAAAAAGCAACAGCAGAGCATCCTTAGCTTCGCGATCGTCAGCACCTTGTTCGTAGCTTAGCTGTCAAGCGCCTCATCCGCTCGTACAGTCTGCACTCTTGACAGCCTGCAGCAAGCCCGTCATCGTGCCGTTGCATCTGCTTCTGCCGCCGCCGCCACCACCCGAAGCTCACTACCGGATCACACGACCCGGCTCCTCCTAGTAACCGCGGCCCAAGAAGCTCCCCCGCCGCCGCCTTCCCGACCGAAAAGCCGAAAACAATCCCTCAAATCCCAATTCCTCCCGCGCGCCGCCTCGCAAACCGCCCATCATGAACGCAGCCCGCTTCCTCCGCCGTCCCGCAACCTTTGCTCTCCGGCCCTCCTTCATCGTTCCCCAGTCTTCCGCCTCCTTCTCCTCCTCCGCCTCCTTCAACTTTGCCCGCACAATGGCCGCCGCCGCCAAGATCAAGGTCAAGAACCCCGTCGTCGAGCTCGACGGCGACGAGATGACCCGCATTATCTGGCAGACTATCAAGGACAAGTTCATCCACCCCTACCTCGACATCGACCTCAAGTACTACGACCTCGGCCTGCCCTACCGTGACGAGACCAACGACAAGGTCACCCTCGATGCTGCTGAGGCTATAAAGAAGTACTCAGTCGGTGTCAAGTGCGCTACCATCACCCCCGATGAGCAGCGCGTCGAGGAGTTCAAGCTTAAGCAAAGTGAGTAACGCGCAGTGGATGTCTTTTCGCCGTCTACCTTCCCTCTTCTTCCGGCACTGTTCCTTGCCCGCTCAAGAGTCTCCCACCGGCCGTTGGACTGGTCAGATCGAACCCCCGGGTTTGTCGCATCCGCGCCGTGGGACCTGTCTCATTCTCCAGCTCCCCGCACTCCGGGGATGCAGCGCCGGCGCATTGCATTTGATCCCCCCCTCTGCACCTCTTCGCAACCTGCACAATTCCAGTGGCCGCACATCAAAGATCCTGTCATCAATGACCCTCTCCTAAAGCACCCCAAAGCAACCCTACCTAGCAGTACAAAGAACATGGACTAACTCAATGGTTCCCTTCCCCTCCCAACAGTGTGGCTCTCCCCCAACGGCACCATTCGTAACCACCTTGGCGGTACCGTCTTCCGCGAGCCCATCGTCATCCCCCGCGTTCCCCGCCTGGTGCCCGGCTGGAAGAAGCCCATCATCATCGGCCGTCACGCCTTCGGCGACCAGTACCGCGCCAAGGATGCGGTTCTCCCCGGCAACGGCACCCTGAAGATGGTCTACACCCCCGAGGGCGGCGAGCCCCAGGAGATCGAGGTCTACAAGTTCAAGAATGGCGGCGGTGTTGCTCAGACCCAGTACAACACTGACGAATCCATCACCGGCTTCGCTCACGCTTCCTTCAAGCTCGCCCTTACCAAGAAGCTGCCCCTGTACATGAGCACCAAGAACACCATCCTCAAGAAGTACGACGGCCGCTTCAAGGACATCTTCCAGGAGCTCTACGAGACCAAGTACAAGGCCGAGTTCGAGGCCGCTGGCATCTGGTACGAGCACCGTCTCATTGACGACATGGTTGCCCAGATGGTCAAGTCCTCCGGCGGCTACATCATGGCCCTGAAGAACTACGATGGTGACGTCCAGTCCGACATCGTCGCCCAGGGCTTCGGCTCCCTCGGCCTCATGACTTCGGTCCTCATCACTCCCGACGGCAAGACCTTCGAGTCCGAGGCCGCCCACGGTACCGTCACCCGCCACTACCGCGAGCACCAGAAGGGCAACGAGACCTCCACCAACCCCATCGCCTCCATCTTCGCGTGGACCCGCGGTCTCATTCAGCGCGGTAAGCTCGACGAGACCCCCGAGGTTGTCGCCTTTGCCGAGTCCCTCGAGAAGGCCTGCATCGACACCGTCGACGTTGACGGCATCATGACCAAGGACTTGGCCCTCGCTTGCGGCAAGACCGCCCGCTCCGACTACGTCACTACCAACGAGTACCTCAACGCCGTCGAGCGCCGCATGAAGAACATCCTCAAGGAGAAGTTGTAAATTCAGAGACAAAACACCGAAGAAAGAAATGCGGACCCGCCGTTGTTTAAAAAAAACGAATAACACTCTTGTAGACTTCAAGAAAACGCTACATTCTGTAGAGAGAGGGGGCGAAAGCCGGCTTCCTATGGGATAGACGAACCTTCAAGACATAAGAAAGGAGGCGGAACGATCTACGATCTACGAAGCTCCCCCTTGGCGTATGCGAAGAAGAGGGCCTTCTGTATCTAACCTGCGTGGACATGCGAATCTTGTTTTCTCTCTTGCATATCGAAGCTGCAGAAGCATGATGGATCATCTCTCTATATTTTCCGTTGGCTCTTTGTTCTTTCTGGTTTCTGTTCTAGTCAACTTGATATCATCTGGTTTCAGCATATCGACACATGGCATATGGAGGGTTTGGCTTTGTTTGTACATAGTGATGCGGCTACCGTTGGTAAATACCAAATGCCGAGATCCACAGCCAACAAAAGATAAGAAGAAAGCAAGTCCCAAAGCTCAATGATATGCTGACTGGGTGGTGAGCTGTCTCGCCATCTCCGCCCTCCGCAATGGAATAGGGATCCCTCATCTCACAAGATACTCGGTATTCAGCAGTGCATGTTCAGAGAGAAATGTAAAAAGGAAAGAAAATGCACCATTGCTACTCCCTAATTTTGCCCTTCCCAATCTGGATCCGGTCAAGAAATCCCGTTGCGCCGTTTCCTTGAGCTTCAGCGCCCCAGCTCTCTCTCTTCGTTTCGTCCTCGCTGTCTTCCTTCTTGAGCCTGCCCACAACCATTGCTCATGAGGCACCCGCGCTAGATGGGCGTGGGAAAGAACAACAGGTCAAAGGAAAATAATAAAAAAGAGATCCATCGATACATAATGTAGTGTACAAGTCCAGGAAAAGAAAAGGTTTTTCTGTGCTGATTTGACTCTCAGCTGCCCAGCCAGGGCCACAGCATACAGTGCCAGCTCAATCGTGACATCTAAGGCATTTTGGCCTGATGGATTTTGATATCTCGGTTGGCCTCCCAGAAAAGAACAACGATCAGTCATCCGACGACCAACCTGACAATCTACATTGACGCAGCTTTTAGTCGTCTCTGTCGCGGGAGAGCTCGCTCTTGCGGCCTCTCTTGGACACAGTCGGGGTGCTTACGTCGGCGCTCTCGCTCTTGCGCTTCTTCTTGGTCGGTCTGCTGCTTGAACCCCGGGGCCGGTATCCGTCGTCGTCGTCTCTACCGGCGCGCTTTCTCTTGCCCCGACCTGTGGCCGGTGTCGCGAAGCTGGGACCGTCCGAGTCGGCCTCGTCCATGCTGTGGTCGTAGCTGTCCGCGTCGCGGCGCAGAGCAGCTGCCCTTTCGGCCGCCGCGGCCGCCTTCTCCGCGGCTCGCTGCGCGGCTTTCTCGGCTCGTACGGCGGCGAGCGAGGCACGCTTACCGCCTCGTGATCCGCGACCGCCCCGAGTCTCTCCTCTTGACGCGCCGCCGCCGCGTCGCCTCCGGCCATCTGTCGGAGGTGCCTCGGCTGCTTCTTCGTCTCCGGCGGGTGCGGCGTTCTCAGCATCCTGTAGGAAGGTCTTCGGCGCGTGCTTACGGAGCCAATTGTAGACACTCGTGGGGTTCTTCATCGCAATCGTCTGGGAAAGGGCGTGCGGGTTGGTCTCCGGAAGAGGAGCGTTGCTGCGGGCGACTGGAGCCAGCGTCGGGAGGAGGTTATCGGGGTCGATACGTCGGTCCACGTCGTGGATGTAGTCGTCAATGTCGTCGGCCGTCAGGAACGAAGGAGGGTGAGGCTCGCCGGAGAACGGTTCCATGTCGGCCACGACAGTGGGGTCCTGCTCCTTTGCTTGGGAGTAGGTATAATGCGGTACCTCCTTGAGGAGTGTGTCCAACGACTTGGTAGGTTCATCGGGCTTCTTTCCAGACTTGTCGACGTCAAGAGGTGGGAACGACGTGTCTTCGGGCGGGTCTTGTGAGATATCGAAGCGCTTGTCAAAGGGCAGCTGGGCCGAGGAGTTCATGTCGAGCAGCAGATCGAGTATACGACTGTGGCCGAGGATTAGAAACGACTCGGCAACAACCTACGCTGGCACGGGACTGCAGATTGATTCCAAGAAGATACTTACTCATTCTCGATGGCGATGCGCTTCGCAGTGGCAAGCGCCAGGGACTCTTGGCGATGCAATTCCTCGCAGTCGTGCATCTTCTGATCAAAGGTGATGCGCATCTTGCGATACTTTTTCTTCCATGACTTGTATGTCGCCTTTCCCTCTCCATTCTCCTCATCTTCGGTCTCTTGACCTTCGGCCTTGACGTCGCGGGTCGCGACGGTGCCGTTGGCGTCGCTCATCGCGGATGGCATCGGTGCGGACGACACGGGAGAGTTTTCGTTAGTCGCAGAGGGAAGCTAGTTAATCGTAGTTTGGAGGGCTGTATCAATCGATTGAAGAAATGGGGATTTGGCCGTAGATGATAGATGACGAATGACTTCTACCATTGACGATGGGACAAATTTGGGGTTGGTATTGATGACATTTACGGCTGACTGTTGCTTGAGTATGGAGTTTCCACGGGCGCGCGGATGCAGGGCGACGACGAGGCTGCGATGCACGTTCCTGGCCACTTCTCTCCAGTGAGAGCTTGGGAAAAGCGTCAAGAATAGAGCCACGCAGGGAGTTCAGATAAGCGACCTTCCGAAGTGAGAGGGTGTGGGGTGTGTGTGTGTTAAAGCGGGGTGTGGCTATCACATCTCAAACTCTCCAATTCTTCCTTCACCAGTGAGAGAGAGACTTGTTGAAAATCATTGAACTGCAGTTCCCACAAACGCTTTTTTAATTCTAAAACTTCGCCATTATTCGTTTCCGTCCATCAATTGTATGTTCCGTTTTTTCAAACCTCTACGAATGGCCGAAAACGCAGCAAAGAGACTCAAGATGTCACCCGTCACCATCGGCACCCACAATGGCCACTTCCACGCCGATGAGGCCCTCGCTGTGCACATGCTGCGCAAGCTGCCCACCTACCACGACTCCCAGCTGATCCGCACCCGCGATCCCAAGCTTCTCGAGACCTGCCACACCGTCGTCGATGTCGGCGGCGAGTACGACGACGGCAAGAAGCGCTACGACCACCACCAGCGCGGCTTCGCCACCACCTTCCCCGGCAAGAGCACCAAGCTCTCCAGCGCCGGGCTCGTCTTTATGCACTTTGGCAAGGCCATCATCGCCCAGAAGCTCAGCGAGGGCGCCGAGACCCCCGTCGCCGAGGACAGCGCCGAAGTTGAGCTGCTGTGGAACAAGTTGTACGAGAGCTTCGTCGAGGCCCTGGACGCCCACGACAACGGCATCTCCGTCTACGACCCCAAGGCCGTCGCCGCCGCGGGTCTCGAGAAGCGCTTCAGTGAGGGCGCCTTCACCCTTGGCTCTGTCGTCGGCCGCCTGAACCCCAACTGGAACGACCCGGTCCCCTCTGACCCCGTCGAGGCCCAGAAGCTCGAGGACGAGCGTTTCGTCAAGGCCAGCCGCCGCATCGGCGAGGAGTTTGACGCCGACCTGGACTACTACACCAAGGCATGGCTGCCCGCCCGCGCCGTCGTGCAGGCCGCCTTCGAGAAGCGCACCCAGTACGACCCCCAGGGCCGCGTGCTCGTCCTCGAGGGCCAGAGCGCACCCTGGAAGGACCACCTCTACTCCCTCGAGGGAGGTAACCCCTCGGTGGTTTACGTCCTGTACCCCGAGAAGCCGACCCCCGATGCCAAGTGGCGTGTGCAGGCGGTGCCCGTCACCAAGGACTCTTTCGAGAGCCGCAAGCCCTTGCCCGAGGCGTGGCGCGGATTCAGAGATGCGGAACTGGACGGCATCTCTGGCATCCCCGGCTGTGTCTTCGTCCACGCTGCGGGCTTCATTGGAGGAAACAAGACATTCGAAGGCGCCAAGGATATGGCGATCAAGGGTCTAGATCTGTGAAAAAGGGCACCTATAGAGATTGTCCACTGGGAGGGAGGTTACTGGGATACGGAACGGCGTATGGCATCAAAAGAAGTGTCTCATTGCTCATCAATAGATTGGGTTCCCGCAACATTTTCATTTTGACATTGAAAGCTGTGGGCATCTTTGTGACTTGCTCGGATCGAGCTGTGCTAACAACTCTAAGCTATGCAGCAGGTAGATGGCCTCCATAGGACTACAGAGGAGGATTGAATGGTCGGCAGAGGAGCATGTGAGCACCCACGAGGACAAACAAGATGGTCACTCGTAAGAATCGCATTTGCGCACTCAACCCCCGCCTCCAGAGTGGGGGGCTTGAGGGACAACGCAAACGCTGCCATGCGCGCATACGGACAAGACGAAGGGGGTTTCGATTTAGTTGCCGCCATATGCCTGTCGTTCTTCGTTCATCTTCCTCCTTCAGTCCTAAAAAAAAACCATGTACGGAAAAGCTTCAGTCTTCGCAGTAGTGCCGTACATCGCGGACATGATATCCAGTAGCGCGACCTTGAAAGCGTCGTAATCCGCAAGTCCTTCCACAGCAGACAAACTTAGAGACAACCGTCTCAGTCCATTCAACAACCATTTGTACTTGGTTCCCAACCCCATTCCAACGCCTAAGAGACCCGTGAAAACATCAACACAGCATCATAACATCGTAGTAGAAATTTGGCCCCGTGAAACAACCCAATTTGCCGTCGCGTAGTGTCGACAACACCTTTACGAAACTTGGGACAAGGGAGAGAGTATAGACGAAAAGGTCCTGCAGGGCCTCATCTCCGGATAGGGATAGCCTCGGTCTTTGCGGCTCCGTCGACTGGAGAGGTGTTTTCCTGGTCCTTAAGCTCGGCCTCTTCAGCGCTGGTCTCTCTGTTGAGGAAGCTCGCCTCCTTGACAGGGCTGCCGGCGTGGGCACCGGCGGCGATGCTGCCGTGGTGCTTGTTGCCATTAAGGGAGGATGAGGAGTTGTTGACGGGGCTCGAGAGATGGGGGATGTTCTCGGGAACGGGGTGCTGGGATCCGACAGCGCCAGTATCGACGCTGTCGCCCTTGCCCGCCTTTGACATGGCGTAGTCGCCAGAATCGAAGTACTTGCGGTCCTTCAAGTGCTTGGCGAAATGGTCGGAGCGAGAGGGGAGCTTGCCGTAAAGGCGGAAGAGACGCTGTTCCTCAGGGGAAAGGGACTGTAAAGAGAGGGATCAGTACCAGATTCGTCAAAGAACGCAATGAGAATTGGTCGGTCATGGAAGCCGTGCCATCGCGGGCTTCGTTCTCAAGGTGGGGCATTGGGTAGCAAGTGGCTGGATTGAACGTACCGAGACGTCGACCTTGTTCTTCTGAAGAGGGTTCATCTTGTTGGTTGATCCCGCGCTTGGTAAAGGTGATTTTGTTCTTCTCAATAGAGGTAGGCGATGTGAACAAGACGAAAAAAAGAAAAAAAAGATCGGTGGACGAAAGGAGTCGGGGAGGAGGTCGGTTGGAGGTGAAGTAGACAGACGGAAGTGGGATGCAGGTGCGACTTGTGACGGGAGTTGGAGGTGCAGGTGGGTTGTAAGGCGGCGGGTGCGGTTTTCTGCGGGGCCCCTTTCTTTTTTGGGAGAGGGGGCACCTGGGAGCTTGACAGTGAAGTCAGGCCGGCCCAATCCCAGAGCGAGCCGGCTCGAGTGAAGTACGTACTCTGCACCTTAGGGAGTACCTTTACTCAGGTGCTCTACCTACCTATCGGGGTTGCGCTTAGGATACCAAGATGGCATTGTGACTCTTCTTCTACAACCATTGTAAAGGTACCTTGCTGATATGTAATTCAAACCTTGCAAGGTGAATATAGACCCCAAGGTTAAGTATCGCGTAACAGCACAAAAATGGTCAGAGGCACTGGGTTGGAAATGGTGAATGCAAGAAAAATTGACAGGTCAGGCAGGGTAGGGCAATTGGGTTCGAGGATATGGTGGATTATGACCACTGTGATCAACCTGTCTACAGACTAGGTACGGATGGATACCTTACCTGACCATGCGAGCTGGAAAGTCTTCGGTTTCATCTGGTTTCCGTGCACCGGAAGAAAGCGCAAAGCATAAGGGAAGACTGGCGGAAAATGAGCAGAGGGAGGATGGGAAAAAGAAGGGTCCAGGTCGAGGACAAGATCCAGATTCTGTTCTGTGGAAAGAGAAAAAAGAAAGTGCCCATCCCATCGATAAACTGCCCATGTACAGAGGCCGCATGAATGTTTACAGTCTGTATTATTGCCGGGCTACCCATTCCTATCCCCCGCTGATAGACAATATGCCATGTAATTAACCTCGTTCTGCAGCGCAATGCCTTGTTGTGCCAGCCCATCCGGCTCCATTAGGCCCAACTCTGGCCAGGTCGCGATGACACACAAATAACGGGGCGGCGACGTTCTTTCACGGAACAACCGCAACATGGAGAGGTCCCTATTTGCCCAGAGAGGTGCCTGCTAGGGGCTGCTTCCGCGACGAGACATGGTTTACCCTGCAACTTGCTTGACATGTTGCTGGTTGTCCCCCAAGAACACTCGTGGGACTCGCGAGTGAGCTCGGGTTTCACAGACTCAAGTTTGTCACTTATTCACGATCTTCTCCCTATCTCGACCCCTGACATAAGTCTTTCTACCTCTGGCCCGACAAAATATGTTTGGCATCCGTTCTCCGTACCACCAGCCCAATCCCTCGTTCGTCACTGACTTCCCGACCAATGCAGCATCCCGGCACCAGCAACGCGTCTCCACCACGGCTGCGTAACCGTTGCCGATGACACTGCGCGCCGTCCTACCGGAAACCCTCTAGCTGTTCACTTGACCTCTCGGCCCCGACCCCATACAGAAGGGATGAGCTGTTTCTCCACGATCTCCAGGCTTCGTCTTTCCCTCGTGCCGTGTCGGTCGTGTTCAAGCACTGCCACACAGAGAATGCGACTCAATTCTTGGACCAGAGATCGCTTAGTCTCCCCAGAGGCAAACGAAATCCAAGAAGAACAAGTTAATGGCCCTGATTGGTTCCCTGGCGATCCTTCAGGGTCTCGATGGGCGAGCACGGTCATCAGATCGACCTGTATCAATGCTCCCTCGTCTTTCGTTGGCTTCCAGTCCTATCTGCCGTCCATGGTACCTGCGGCCGACCCGCGGGTCGCATATCCGGTCGACACTATTAAGAGAACCGGACCCAAGCTCCCTGACCTTTTACCCGTCATGGCGACCTCCAGAGCCTTCATCTCGATGCCTTATCAGCCTTTTGACTGGTAAATGGTAATCCCAGGTGCGACGCCTAGCCAATAGAGGGGATGATCCCCCGGGTCTGTTAGCACTGAGAAGGTATCGGAGTGACGTAAAGCTGCCATCCCTACCATACCAGTCAGGGAGAATCGACAACGACATTAGAGCCCATCCTCGTCCAACAGTCACACACGTAGTCCGTCATCTGGACTCTGGAAAGTTCGATGCTGTCTGGAAACCACTGTGTCGAGTGTCTCTAGTCCTGCCTCCCCGCATTCCGCCCCCAACGTGGTCTCAATTCTGGGTTAAGTCGTGATTGCTTCGGAACAACTGCCGTCTACCTGCTTAGACCAGACCGAACGAGGGGTGGCTTGGCCGATCGTCCCAGCGTTTCTTATTCCTCCTTCACACCACCATGTAGCATGCCTCCAAAATCGAAGGACACCGTTCCATTTCCGCCGCGCTTCGCCGAGGCAGCTCATGATACGACGAAGCGACCCAGGGAAGGTTCGCTGTGATGGCGGACGGCCAAAAGCTCGCGAGCGGTCAATGGGATGATGTTTTTCTGCAACCCTCCTCCTCTTCGCCAATGGCTTCATTGACCACCACACAATCTATCCCCAATCATACGATTCCGCGTGATTGGAGTGTTCTAGGCTACTCGCATGGGTTGAGTTGACGGCCCATAACCTTTCCCACCCCTCATTGCCCACACGACATAAGTAATCGCACACTGGTACGGCTTGACCAGAGAGTTGCTGTGCTAGTTCGCTGATAGAGTTTCCGGCTCTGGCCCGCCGGGGGTTGCCTGCATAACGCGTGCTGCCATCCTACCGAATTTTCCGTTCCCGTCTCCCGTCTACCTCTCAATTGGGGAAATGATGGAGTTGGAGATGCTTTCGGACTTTTGGCGTTGAGGCGCTTATTTCCCTTGCATCTCCGTCTCTCCCCGCTTATCAGGCTTTCGTTGCTTTGCAGGTTCAAGTGCAGAACATGAGTCGCTGAATGTCATCGTGACCTCGTGGTGGTTGCCCACCCACCTGCACCTCTGCGTAGCTCTGTTAGCAATTGAGTTTCCATGGTCGATGATGGTTTGAGAGGAACTAGTAATTACAACACAACTAAGTAATAGGTCCTAAGAAGTAAAACTGTTCCAACGCTAGCTTCGTCGCCATTGAGATTTCCAACAACAATAGCTTCTTCACACTATATCTTTCTGGTATAGCATATCTCTCTTCCTCTTTATGGCCTTCTTCAATTGATCTCATCTCTCCTAATCCATAGCTCATCTGTCTTATGCTCATTGAGCCATGGATTGTGAACAGATCGAATAGAGTATAAGAGGAAGCAGACCTATATCACACCGAAAACGTAGCCAATCGCCCCTCTCATGCAGATATCACGCTGATCAGATGAGTATTTGCTTCTCCTGCTTGAGGCTCTTGACGAATTCCAGCGGCACTTTTAGAGTCTGCGCGACTACTTCAGGCGGTGTGAGAGCGAGCCACTGGGTCAAAGAAATATCCACGACTCTGTCAGACTTGTAGAGCTCAATCCATACCAAGTCTTCAGTGTCAGAGGTGTTCTCGATGTAGTGTCTATTCAACGAATTAGCAACGACACACTCCACTCCCTCGAGATGAATGATTCACTCACCCGCTGTTGTCCGGGAAAGCCGCTGTGTCACCCGCTTCCAAGTCAAAGGTTCTCGACGCTGCACTTCCGATAAACACAGTCGCCTTGCCCTTGCCCTTGTGGAAGTAGAGCCATTCTTCGGCGTTGGGGTGCCAATGGAGCTCCCTCAGCCCGCCAGGCTTCAGGGTGACGAAGGTGGCAGCAATGGTCTTGGCAATGGGGAAGTTGGTCGAGTCAATCTTTCTGAACTCGCCGCCGTTGCCGGGAACCTTCTCAGGTGGGTGCTCGAAAGTGCGGTAGACGAAGGAACTGTTGCCGGAGAGGTACTGCCCCGGGGGAACCGTCACGTTCGTGGTTGCCACCGTTCCGTTCAGGATGTACGGATTCGTGGCGGGTAGCTTGTCAAAGACGGAAGCATTGACGCCAAAGTTCCTAGCCAAGATGTCTCTCGGGGTGTGGGCCAGCCAGTCGACAATGTTGAAAGTGGTTCTTTTGGGTGTCAGTTGACTCGTTCCATACACGAGTGTCATATAGAAGAGGAAGCACCAACCCAATCTTATCAAAGTCGGCTTCGTCAAAGGCCAAGAGAAACTCGGACTCTTCAGCAACTCCTTGGACATAGTGAGCAGCACCCTTGGGGAAATACCTAGGACCAATATTAGCATGCAGTGCTCTTTGACTTCTCAGCTTGGGTCTTACCAAATATCTCCATAGTTGAGTTGTTCAACTTGACTTTTTCCGTCTTCGCCGACGGCTCCGATGATAATCGAGCCAGAGTACACAAACCCCCACTCCGCAACCTTATGCCAATGCAGCTCTCTTACTGCTCCACGCTTGATATGCTGCTGGGCGGCTGCAATATCGTGACTCTGAGGCAAGTCCTGAATGACCTGCTCGCGGACCCAGCCTCCGTTGAAGATACGGGTCTTGGAATCAGAGAATCTCCATTTCAGGTTCGGCACCACGCCGCTGTCAGTGGACTGCCGGCCGAGATTATCCGGATTCTCTCTGTCAATTGCATTGTTGGTGCCGCCTGTGTCATTTTATTAGTAGGGTCTGGCATCGAGAAGGTGAGCTCCGTGTCACTTACCCAGGATCGGGGCACCTTTGCCATTGGCATCGATGGGCTGTCCAATATTGAATTGAGCGTCTCTCTTCGCCACTTGGGGCGAGGCACTTGTGATGGCCACGAGGCCAATGAGACCTGTCACGGAGATTTGAAGTAGTCTCATTCTATCAGATAATGAAGAACCGACTTATGAGGAGGTGCAGAGTGTGAGAGATGAAACGAAACAGCGCAGGGAAGACAATCTGTAAAGTATATTTTATAACTGCGCCTAACCTTTAGAATACCGCCTCCAAGTTCGAAAGGACATACTTCATTTTCTTCGACGCGATGGCGGAATTTTCATTACTATCACGTTCAACGCATCGAGTAATCATGGCGTTGAGGTTGCAGTTGCAGAAGCAACGGTTCGCGATGACGACATTGACCATTCAGCGGCATCGGTGCTTTCCGGTCGACACTATTGACTTTCCCAATTCGAGTCTCACAGGCATCTTCCCCCAAAAATCAAGAGTGCATATGCGTGTTCGATGGGTTTTGGTGTGATATTGGCTAAATGATCGACTGCAGTTGTCTTTGAATCGGGCATGCCGCTAGGTTGGACCCCGGTCATTCGACATATGTCCGAAAATAACGACATCGTGGGAAAGCGTGGGGGAAAGGCTGCTTAGGCGCTGATCCCCATCGACGGCATCTAACTAGCCTGACTGAAGCTTACTTTGACGCGGTAGACTACGGTAATTTACTTTTAACCTTGTCTTACTGCAGATATTGGCTTGAATGTTACCCGCATCTTTCTGGTAATCTTCTATATCACAGGCCGGCCCAAGTTTTGCGTTACAAGGCCGGGGCAAAGTCGTGATCTGGGTTCAAATAGAGTTAAATCATCTGAAATGTCAAGATCATGTCAATTCACATGGCAAAAAATATGACAGAAAGACCCAGTCTTCAACGCGTTTCTCTCCTTGACCGTATGCCCAAGAGACCAGACGTTTTCTCACAATTCAAACAAGATGTAGAAATAGCATGGCAGAGGATGTGTTGACAAGCAATCTCAGGTCAATTAATCTTCTGACATAGTGAGTTTTCGTAATCCCATTCAGTCTACTATCTCCTGAACGTTGAGACCGGCAGTGTGTAAATTGCCTTGAGGATGGCTGTTCAACCCGAACAGCATACTAGCCAAGCACGAACACGCTATTCGATCGTAGCTCTACCAAACTGTCCAAGATCGCCATCGTCCTACCTGGTTCATCTTCTCTGGAACCCGTTTCGCCAAGCTAGAGAAGTTAAGGTTTGATATGCCCGACGCAGCAGCAGAGCCAGAGGCGCCCCCGTTGCATGCCTCAACGTCCCTTGCCGTTCAGCCTCGCTGAGATCTGATGCGGAAATGGAATTATCGGTCCCGAATACTTAAATGAACTCGAAGTGTTATTCGTTACATATGATGCCATCCGGTACTATCGATATATGTCTGAGTTTGGTACATCTCGCCCCTGTCAATCCAACAAACAAAACACCTACGTCGTCCAGTTGAGAGATGATCTGCAACTCTTCATCTCACATGGCTTTACGCGTGGTCGCCGTCAGTGTCGATCAACTTCTTGACATTCGTTAAGCTTACTTCTCCCTCCAATGCCGAAGCACTGGGCCACACTAGCGCTGCTTGACACAAAGTTAAGACATCGTCAAGAAGTGTGCTCAACACGTCGAGCTCGCCGGGCGCCCAAGTTTCCGTGCTCCAAACGATCGCGACATTACGGTCTTCCCTCTTGAGGAAAAAGATGTGGCCACGATGAGCTAGAGGTTAAGGATCTCTGGATTGTGATAGGCAAGGTGTGAGTCCCGACTTCTTGGCAAAGACATGTTCAGGCATATCTCCAACGCTGCATGACTCTGAGAAGGTCTGTTGGGTGCATCTTGATTATCGTTCTGGCTCACGGCATACTATCTTTCGACAATAGCGTAGATGATGAGGTTTATTGGCTTCATGGTGTGATTGTCTAGTGAGCTCACGTCCAGAGAAGAGAAGCGGTTGACTGTCAGACGGCCCTTATTGCAGCTCGCGATGGAGTATAAAAAGAATAGATAAGTGCCCGTAGTCTGGTGTTGGGAACATCTTCAAAAATCAGACTTCTTGGATTTCAACAAATAATTACCAGCAGCTCAATTGACTCAAGATGCTTTCCAAGATCTCTTTGGCAGCTCTCACGGGCTTCCTGCTCTCTCCCGTGGCAGCAGGGCCAGTCAACGGCAACGACTACTCTCCTGCCAGCAAGAGAAGTCCTCTGGGGATCAGTCTGCCCCCTCTGATTCCTTCTATCCCGGGAGTCACCGAGCCTCTGGCCTCCAATGCCCCTCCTCTCCCCATTCTTCAAATCCCAACGCCTCCTCTCGAGAGTCCTCCTTTCACCGGCGCCAACATCAAGCCAAAGAAGATTGGCTACTTCTGGACTGGAGCTGGTGACAACATCCATAAGGACTTCTTGGTCACTGCCAGTTTGGACGATGTGAGTGATGCTTTTGTCTCTACTTAACACTCAGTGGGTTGAGCAATGCTTACAACCATTCTCGCTTTTAGGACACTTTCGGTCAAATTATTGCTCTCACCGATGTGCCCACGAGCGGAAACTCTCCTCACCACCTGGGTAGCTCTCTTGATGGCAAGACACTCATTGGAGGCGGTTTACTGTCTCTGCTTAAGACTCAGGACACGGCCTTCTACTTTGATGTCTCTAATCCCTACTCTCCCAAGTTCAAGAAGTCTAACCGAGCTCTACTGAGTTCCATCGTCGACGAAATCCGCGCCAAGCCAGAGGGGTAAGTCACCACCACTACATGCCATGACTCTGTCCTCGTCATGATTCCTGTCATTCCCAAACGTTCCCAGGGAAGATGAGAAGTGCTGATATTCTACTGTGACAAGTGGATTCTTCATCACGTACATGGGCAGTGCTGTTGGAACGTCTCCCGGCCGTCTGGTCGAGACCAACGCAGAGGGTGATATTATCCATGAATGGCCAGAGGATGTCGCTGGAACACTCAACATTCTCGGCGAGCAGTTTAGTCCCCATGGTCTGGCTGTGGATTTCAACAAGGGAATTATCTTGACTTCGGACTTCGTCGTGCCTATCACAATTCTCAAGCCGACGTTGGGAATCCAGAAAGCAAGCACCCTGCGCCTGTGGAACTTGTCCGACAGAACAATCATCTCGACCATTACGATCCCTGCCGTAAGTGCTCTACCAACTTCGGAGCGAACGACAAAAATCTAATGGTTTCTAGGGCTTGGGCATTCAAGATGTTAAGTTCATCCCCGGCAACCCTGAGAGCGCTGCTATTGCCACCGCTGTTGGCCCAGGCCAAGTCTGGATCATCTACCCATTCCGCCGCGATTCGTCTGGGAAGCAAGGCGTTGCTGAGCTGCTCTTCGACCTGGGCTCCAAAGCCAAGGACTCGTTGGCTATCTACTCCGACATTACCGACGACGGCAAATTCGCATACTTCACCATCACTCTGGGCAACCACGTTGCAGCACTCGACATCTCCGACCTGAACAACGTCAAGAGACTGGATGACCCCAACGAGACGCAGCCAATCATTGGACCTCACTACGTCAAGATCAGCCCGGATAAGAAGAACCTGCTTGTCACTGGATACTTCGTGCAGGGTGGTGATGTGAGTCACGCGTCTCTCGTTCATGTCTGACATTCTTGTACCGAGGTTGTTTACTGACATGTTATTCGTGATAGATTTCCATTGTCAACACACCTGGAGATTACAAGGGTCATTGGCTCGACATTCTCCCCGACGGAAGCCTCAGCTTCAACAGATCAATCGACTTTGAGAGCATCTTCACCCGCGACCGTGGCGGTGCTCGACCTCACTCGTCGGTCATCTTCGATTTGACCGACCCCAAGAACCCCAAGTATTACTAGGGTCCTGCTTGCCACAGCTCCGGCTCTTGTTGAGCTGCTGATCTGATGCTCTATCAGACCTGGAACACAAGGATTTGGAGGAGGAACGAACCCTACGGAAGCAACGACGCCTTTCTTTTCTCTTGAGCTATAGTACCCGATCGTTTCTTGGTTATGTTCATTTTAATTTGTTACGCTTGTAACTTCGCGCTTTACCTATGAAGCTCTATCTTGTGCGTCGCTCAGTAATTATCATTGTTAGTAACGTAGCATGGTGCCTCTCGTAGCCACGACTTCGTGTGTGACCATGTTTGAGGATATCGAATTTTCAAAAGTTCGAACTTGAAATCCAGATGTTTTTGAGCACTATCTTAGAATGAATTTCATCTCAAAACGGAGCTGGTCATCATGGTAAGACTGGGTGTTCGTGAGTCGCGCACTAACAATTTCGTGCTGCGTGCGTCATTCGTCCGCCCCTCCCTTAACTCTAGAGGTCCGGCCGGACGTTCCGTGTCGCAACTGCCTGGCAGCGCACTGCTCTCGAAGGCTTGACGCTAACACCTTATTTTGTCCCATGATCCATTCCCATCTTTGTAATCTACACTTCACTTCATCCATGTCTTTTTGATACCCCATTTCTTCTAGGCTCAGACAAAATGCCTGAAGAACGGAGCGCCGAAAAGAGACCCGCTTTGCCGGCGGCGTCTCAAACAAGGTCCCCACCGAGCTCCCGGAGAGCTCTAGTCTGCATATTCGGCTTCATTCTATCATTCCTGGTTGTTTACGGACTTTATACCCCATGGAGCAGCTTCATCGATACGGGCAGATGGTTTCCCGGGACATTCGATGAACTCGACATCGATGCAGACAATGACTTGTATCTCGTCGGTGCTGGCCGAGCTGACATTACCGGCCCGGTTGTAGAAATCAACATGATGGGTTATGCAGACCCTAAACAGCTTGGCACTGGCCTTCGACAGAGATTGTATGCCCGAGCATTCATCGTAGGAAGCACCGAACGACGCAACGACAGGTTCATCTACCTCGTGCTTGACACACAGTCGGGAGACACAGCTGTTCGTTACGGTGTACTTCACGGGCTCGCTGAGCTAGGCTTCGACTACTCCATGTATGGACATCACAACTTGGCACTGACTGGGACACACTCGCACTCTGGCCCGGGCGCCTGGCTCAACTATCTCCTACCGCAAATCACGAGCAAAGGCTTCGACCAGCAAAGTTACAGAGCCATCGTTGACGGTACCTTGTTGGCCATCCGTCGTGCACATGAGAGCCTAGAGCCGGGGCATCTCAGTATTGGCTCAACAAAGGTCACTGGCGCAAACATCAACCGCAGCCTGTACTCGTATATGGCGAATCCGGAAGAAGAACGTGCCAAATACAACGTCAGCGCTGAGAATGACGGGTCTGTTGAGAAAGACTTGACATTACTCAAGTTCCAACGAGCGTCAGACGGGAAGAGCATCGGTGCCTTGACATGGTTTCCCACCCACGGCACATCCATGCTCGGCAATAACACTCTCATTTCGGGAGACAACAAGGGAGTGGCAGCATGGCTATTTGAGAAAAGTATGCGAAAGTCGTCTGATGCGACCAAGGGATTTGTCGCTGGATTCTCCCAGGCCAATGTGGGCGATGTGAGTCCAAATGTGCTAGGCGCTTTCTGCGAGGACACCGGCGAGCCTTGCGACTTCAAGACAAGCACTTGCAGTGACGGGAAAAGCCAAAAGTGTCACGCCAGAGGACCATTCTTCCGTGAGAAGGATGAAGGTGCCTCGTCTTGCTTTGAGATCGGCAAGAGGCAGTACACAGCTGCTAAGGCGCTATTCGACGACATGAGATCCAAGTCTCAGCGAGTTCGTGGCTCGTGGGTAAAGTCTTTCCATGCCTTCCACAATATGTCAGAATTCCGCTTCGAGCTTCCCAACGGAACGGAAGTGAGAACCTGCCCTGCAGCGTTGGGCTACTCATTCGCAGCTGGAACGTCTGATGGTCCTGGGGCTTTCGACTTCACCCAGCACAACTCGAACTCGACTAATACGAACCCTCTATGGAAGGTTGTTGGCGGTTTGTTGAAGGCACCAACGGAAGACCAAGTCGCCTGTCATTCCCCCAAACCCATTCTACTCGATGTTGGCGAAGTGTTTAACCCATACCAATGGACACCCAACATTGTAGACATTCAAACATTCAGAGTCGGCCAGCTGATTATTATTGTCAGCCCGGGAGAGGCGTCGACCATGGCGGGAAGACGTTGGAAAGATGCAGTCAAACACCAGGCCGAGTCCTTGTTTGCTGAAGAGACTGATGCGAAGCCGGTCGTGGTGATTGGAGGACCAGCAAACAGTTACACTCATTACATTACAACACCACAGGAATACGGGTAAGCTCTCATACGTGGCACTCTATATAGCTCGGCACTAATTTTGACAGAATACAACGATACGAGGGTGCTTCAACTCTGTATGGTCCTTACACGCTGGATGCATACATTAACCGGACGCTCAATTATCTCCCGACGCTGGGAGCTTCGTTCGCCAAAGGACCTCCTGCTCACGCTGGAGGACCTTATCCTCCAGACAACACAAACCGCTCCCTGAGCTTCATCACTGGCGTAGTGCGAGATGGCACACCCATTTTCCGCAGTTTCGGCGACGTCAAGATTGACGTGGAGGACAAATACGCCATCGGGGACGCCGTGAGAGCCACGTTTGTCGGAGCTAATCCGCGTAACAATTTGCGCCTGGAACAGACGTACGCAGCTGTCGAGAGATTAACCATTGACAAAGGGGCCATCAAGAGATGGGACACCGTGCGGACCGATTACGATTGGAACCTGATCTTCCACTGGAAGCGGACGAGCGACATACTCGCCACGAGCGAGGTTGAGATTGTATGGGAGACGGAGAGCGATGCGAAGCCGGGGACGTACCGCTTCCGCTACTATGGGGATTCCAAATCGCTGGGCGGAAAGATCACAAGTTTTGAAGGAGTCAGCGGGCAGTTCAAATTGCACTGAGGTCTGGTTATAGGGAAGTTTGTTCTAGATTCGGGAACCGTGGAAGAGGAATCATGCAATCTGTGGCTTTACATGAGTCTTTGTTGATTAACAACAGCGCTATCCAGAGCACATAACAGGGCTCAGCTTTCAAGAATGTTACAAGTCTTTCGACGATTCGGTATTTATTGAATACGACCCAAATCCTTGGACTAGTCGGGACATCGCCATTAGCATTCATTCGCTTCAAAGCCATTTCAAAAAGTTGGTTCACGGGACCAAACACATACCTCATACCCAGGAGGACACGGCGTAATACAGTTCCAGAAACCATCGCCGTATCCATGACACTCGTACTCGCCGTCGTCATTGTCCGTCGTAATGGGCTTGCTGCATGGCGGGAGGTCCATTCTGCCCTGGGCGTTACCCTTCCATCTGGCGCAGCCCATGCAGGAGCCGTACTTCTTGCCCGGGGCGGTGCACTGTCGGGCGCAGCGGCTGCTGCAGCCGGCTACGTCGTCGACGCTGTAGTCTGCAAAGAGCCAGGCGAAGTCTCCGGGGGAGAGGTTGCGGTTCGAGGAGAAGCCTGGGGAGCAGGCTTGGGCGAGGGTTGCGCTTGCGCAGAGCAAGGCGGCGGCGATGGCGGTTGTTGTAAGACGCATCTTTGGTTTCCGGGGTTTAGATATTGGGGGAGAATGCTGCTCTTTGGCCTTTGGGGTGTCTTGTGAAAGGACGACTCTATACGAGATTTCTCACGAAACCGGTATGTGGAGGCAAAACAGAGTGAACGAGCAGAAGAGCTAGGCCATGTGGAGGTGGGAGTAAAGACCGACGGTCAGTAGTACGGACATCCGTTGGCTGTCATTTATACGACGTTCCGCTGGTCTTGTACGGAGTAGTCCTCTACATGATCATGTTCGGCGAATAACTGCCTTCTTGAATGACTAGACCGCAAGTACGCGGAAATTGGAGAGGATATTGAGCAGAAAAAGCTTATACCGATATCCTGTACCATGACTTCGAGACTCGAGAGCATCGTAATATACTAAGTCCAATGAAGTGCTCCGGTTCTTTCTTACAGAAATCCCCTCTAATTAACGATCTACACGCCAGGAGGGAAGTTCTGAAGCTTAGTATACGGACCTCGTGGACGGCTGACTCTTTCAGACAGTTGGGGTATTGTAAGTCCGAAGTTCGAGGTGGGCATCATCAATTATAGTTTAATAAGTTCTCGCGCTCGGCACACTTAGGGGCCAAGTATAGACAAGTCGAGTCAGAGTCAGTATTCTGTCGGTATCACAATTCTTGACAAACAACTAGTTTAGATGTGGAAGTACTCTGGTTGAATTAACTATGTGCCATTACCGACCAGACCTGCCACCACGACCAAAACACAGCACAAGGACTTATGATATACCGAGCAAGGGAGAAGGAGGAACATCTAGTCTAGAAAAAATCGATAGAGTATGGCAAATTCCCGATGCCCATCTTAGCTCTTAAGCCAAAGGATCTGCGTAGTTGTTTGCTGCTGTATTTTTTTTCTTTTCTTTTTTCGTGTACTTGGTAGCTCAGGATTCGCCAGCACGGCCTAACGTTGATGCCAGATAGACAGACGGCTTTTCAATGCGGGTACCGTTGCATAGACATCTATAGCTACTTGTGTCGAGTGATTTCCCTCGAAAGTCCGATTCTTATGTAGGTGGATCGTTTGCGTCGGTCACAAGCCGGGGAGAACGATCGGTTGTAAGGCACCGTGGTTGACGTGAAAAGTGTACAAAACTCGCGAGGGTCCCCTCTGATAATTGCTTCTTCTCGAATTCTTGTGAGTTGGACAAGAACCCCTGGTCCCGCGTCGGGCGCTGCCGAGACAAGCCTCGACCTGACACCCGCCGCGCATGTCTTGGCCCCTTGAGCGGCGCCCCTCCTTCAAGTCTTTCCTCCTGGCGCCATGTCTCTTGATCAAACAACCAGCGCCGGCCGAAGAACCTCCGGACCTTGAGTA